GCTTGTGAAACAGAAATACCATTAAATCATAAGCAATGCATAACCTCTTTAAAAATGTTAAAATGATGTGACTATAAACCATAATTAAAACGACTGAGTATTAGTATCCAAATGTCACAATTTACATGCACTAATGTTTAGATTTACTGTTTTAAGGAAACAGTACTGAAGAGTTGAAACATTTAAGGCTGCTAATCTGTCAACCTTAATCTACTTCTCTTGAAATGAAACACGCTTCCTGTGGTCTTTTTTTTTTAATTGACCTATGGAAATCCGATGCAAACTTATTGCCTAGTTTACTATCATACTACGAAGCAAGGATCAATAGAAATAGATTAATATTTATATCTTCTATTTTCGTTAGACAGGAAAATACTTAACGTTAGTCAATTGCACTGCTGAAAGTCGAAAATTAGTAAACTTTAGGTTCTATATGAAATTTCCCCGAATGAGGGCTTGTCTTGAGAAAAACGGCTTGTTTCTAGTGAAAGTTTTGACAAGCTTTCATGTTAAAACTTATTTTTAAAAACAGAACACTTGACATGTGGTAACTTGGCACGGAATGATAAACGTACCTTGTACCAATGTCAATTTCCCAGTTTTGGTATTATACTATAACTAGGCAAGATATAGCCACCAGGTGAAACCGGGTGAAAGATACACGGAACCTCTTTACTATCTTTGCAACTTCCTGTAAATTCATAATTTCAAAATAAAAAGTTAAAAGATAAAATAAAAAGTAAGTAATACATAGTAGTCTCACTAACATTTCTTGGGGTCTTCTGGTCCTATGGGACCCTGGTGGCACAGTGGTTAAGTGTTTGGCTGCTAACCAAAAGGTTAGCAGCTCGAATCCACCAGCCGCTCCTTGGAAACCCTATGGAGCAGATCTACTCTGTCCTGTAGGGTTGCTAGGAGTCAGAATCGACTTGACGGCAACAAGTATCTTTCAGGGTCTACATGAGGCTTAAAGTACTGATTCTTTTTTACAGTACTTTCTAACATTACACATGCAAAGCACACTTCATTTTATTCAAAATGTAAGGTTATCTGAGTAACCACAAGGCCATGGTATACAACTATCGATCTATTATCCAATGTGGAAAATATTAAACATTACTAAATTATATTTTAAAAAACTTTAAGGTCAATGATCCTCAAATGGTCCCTATTCAACAATTCCCTCAACGTGTGAATAATAAACCTTTGTCTGAAAATGATCTAATAGGAGAAAATAATTTCCAAATTTCTCCATAGATATGGCTAAATTTCAATACAAGATAAAAACTTGACTGCAGCTATGAACTTTGAAATCTTTAGAAATCCTTACTAAACCACTAACGGAAATTTTCCTTTATACTAATATAGAGACATTAAAATGTAAACTAAAAAGCTATGCAAGTTCACTGGGAAAAGTCCCTAAAACCACAGTACCTGGAGCCAATAGAGGAATAGTGTTTAATTAACCAAATGAGTTAAACTATCTTCCCAGAGAAGATGTTTGTAACAAGTATTATAAACATATACTAAAACAACTTTGTTACAGTAAAAGACAGAGGACAAGGAAAAAGAGATAACTCCCAGAAGCCTGAAGTTTTTTGAAACAGCTTTTCAAAATCCCTACAAAGATACCCTTCATCCCTAAGCTCATCTGTGCTGTCATTCTTAAAGTTACTTGAAATAGTTCTTAAGAAAAACAGAATACAAACTAGGAAATGTCTCAGACTAATCATAGAAATTTAAAAAAAAAATTATTTCACCTAGTTAAGGAACCTTTTAATAAGTTGCACCCTCATATGACTCCCCTTAATTTACAACAGATAAACTATGTTCTCTTTAACAAGTCCTGAGAAATAAAACCTCTACATCTTTATACCATACATGCTACATTGCAAGAAGTCTTACTTTAACCAATCTAAGGATTTTTAAGAATGACAAACAATCCTTCTCAATCTCTGCTTTCTTATTTCAAATAATATATTTGAAAGTCCTTTTATAATGATTTCCAAACCGTTATTTTTCAAGGAAATCCAATGAAGCAAATCTATTAGTAATTATTCGAAAAACACTAAGTGTTGTGTTGACAGGTGCCAGCAAAGCCCAATCCTGAGGAAAACAAACATGCCTTAAAAGTCCATATTTGTTTAACTAACTTTGTACATGCAAATTACAAATCATACTGTATAATTACTTAAGTTATTAGACATTTACTAAAGATAGTCATTTGATTTAAAAAAAAATAAGAATGTAAAAAATAATAGAAAATTGGAAATTAGTCATTCAATAAACAATATAGCAACCTGTTCTTACATTAATTATACATGTTGACAGCACAGATAATCCAACTCACACGTGACTTTGGATAATGGCTTCGAATTTATATTTATGCATATATATTTAAAATCACATTCATTTAAGGATAAAAATCTAAGGGAATTCGTAATACTGTAAAGTCAGACATACAGACTTTAAAAAGCACATTGGCCAAAAAAAATACATACACCTAAAGTCAAACTATGATGGCTAAATATCTTAAGTATTATATACAGTACCGTTTTTCTCAAAGTAAAAGGGTAATTCCCTTAGAATGCAAACAAACGAAGAATCATTATTTTACATCTCTAAGAAACTAGAAAACATCAAAGATGTACTCTGAACTCCAGAATGGAGATACCATTTCTTATGGTATTATTATTCATTCCCTCGTAGTTTAAAGGAATATGGCAACCAGGCTTATTAGAGCGGATACAGACAGGGATGGACTTATGTTAATTAAAGAAAGGAACCCAGAGGAAGACTTACATACAAAGCGTCCCAGAAAGTAAACTACAGAGTTCAGCCTAACCTATAAAACAGATCAGAAAAGCAACAAGTTTCTTAAAAATGAAGCTGAAGGAACATCAGCTAAGTAAACAAAGCAAGCAGATGCAAATAAAAAGGAACCTAAAAACAAGACTACCTAGAGTTCTACCAAGGAAGGAAAATTAAAATCAAAGTGAAAAGGAAAGGGGTTCAGAAAGGACAAGCAGCTAAAATACCATGAACTCTCCAGAGTCAACACCTTGAAGGCTAGCCTCAAGACCAGGATCGCATCTTATCTTCACTTCCAGGAGTCTCACACAGTGGTTGGCACACAGTCGATGCCCACTGTTTGTTAAATGAATAAGCAACAGAATGCTCCTGGGCTTACTTCACCTGTGAAAGAATTTATTGGCTATGGTTCACTGTAAAGCGTATGGAGTTTTTACCCCCAAGTTTCCTTCTGTGCATCAGCTGACCTCTTCCCGGATTTGGGACTAGGTAAGATTTACTGGATCATGGTTGCTAAAAGAGAACCTGAGATCCTATCTATAAGGAGCTCATGGGCCACAACCCTTTTTTTTTTTTTGACAATCACTGAAACTGTAAAAAATAAAGCTTTGTACAGTATAAGCAGTACCCACCTACCAAGAGCTTCCATTTGGTGTGTAATCCACTATAGAGAAGTTCGATAATAGTACCATCTTGTCTGTATAAAGCATCAGAAACCCTGGTGGCATAGTGATTAAGAGCTATGGCTGCTAACCAAAAGGTCGCAGTTCGAATCCACCAGGCACTCACTGGAAACTCTACGGGGCGGTTCTACTCTGTCCCACAGGATCACTAGAGTTGGAATCAACCCGATGGGCAACAGGTTTATAGATAGCATCATGGAAAATTTACCCACAAAAATGAAAATGTTAATAGTTTAAAGTAATTTTGCCAAAGAACTTCTAACGTTTTTAATAAATCAAACCCCCTGTACTGTTACTTAGCAAAAATATGGCTTATCATCATAAGTAGCACAAAGCTATAGCTACATTCAACGGAGAAGAAACACATTTTATTTTTCTCCCATCCAGTGATCATCCAAATTATTCCTTCCCAATGCAATCTCTGACCATTACTAATTTCCTCAACCTAGTAATTATGTAGTACATAGGTGGCCAATGTTTTCTCATTATCTGATCCCACTGAGTAAGGCTGACTTCTACGCTGAAGATGAGAAAAGAGGACCAGAAGATGCAGGATAACAAAAAACAAAGTACTGAGAGACTAGTTGCCAACTAGGGAAAAAGAAAGCCACACGGTACTGTTGAGTTTCCTTAAGAGATTTATAAAAGCTATCTATACATTTTATCTGTTAAGCAATGTTACGATCTAACTGTAGGGGACCATACAGATGTCTTAATGACCTTAGTGAAAAATGATTTGTTCCCTAATGTATTTCTTAGACATAAAACCTGATATTTTGGTAAATTTGGGGCAAATTAAGTCTGAAAACAGTTATCCAGAGTTGGTTTTATTTGCTCAGTCTACCTCCTACCAAAAAGAGCTTGAGGCAAAGTCATAACTGAACAGTGTTAGCAGCGTGTAACAACATACGACTAACCTAACCTTTATTAAAAAGCTCAACACTTGAAAGCTGTATAAAAGCTAAATTAACCCCCAAAAATACAGAAAATAAAACTTTAAATGTTTACAACAAAAACTCAAAAAAATTTTCTGAATCACAAATGGTTTTTCTAACCAGTGAACCGTTTTGAAAAACCTACTAAATTGTAAAATTTATAATTCATCATAATTAGGATACAGATTTGAACTCTCTAAAAAATAACTTCAAGTGGCAACAAGATCTCAAAATAAACTAAGCCAAGTATATTGAAAACTTCACTTTAAAAGTAACTTTAAACTTACGTTCTTGGGAAAATGTTTTCTATCTCTCCCATCATTAATAAACCATTTGTTAGACTATATTCATAAATACATTCTATTATCACCCATCAAGAGTCCAGTTTTTAGATGCTCAGGTCAGCATCTTACTTCCACAGCAACTTGTTAATGAATCATAGTAAGTTAATAGAATTAAAATACCTTAATGACATAACCTCATGGCAATGTCCCCAAACTTGAAATACTACTACCAGAGCCACTGTTAAACGATAAATATATGTGAAAGTTTCAACTGGAAAGCTACTCACCACCATCCCTCTCTCTAACTCTGTGAGCATGCACAGTTTTGGCCTTACTGTGACCTGTGCTGTCACTATATTTGTTTTCAGGACTATCAGATCTCCGCAACATTTTATTTGGTGGTGAAGGATCTGCGGCGTCTCGCATCTTTTCATGTCTGTGATCACCACTACTGGGGTGACTCTTCGATGAATACTTAAGGGCCTGTAAAACATCACACCCCCCAAAAAAGAAAAAATTGAAACTTTAAACTTAACTCCCTAAGACAATTTAACAATAAATTATGCTTATTAACATCATTAGCAATTTATAGCAACAACATTAAAATTTCCATTATTAATTACACCCTTAAATCATTAAGACAAGTCCCAAATGCTTGTTATCATAAAGCTCCTGATATAAATTATGGGGGGGGAGAATCCACTCCATTAAATCAAACACTGGTTCCACACACATTTTCCTGGGAGTTAATACTTGAAAAATTTTTTTTGAAAGCTTAAACTAAGGAAAACTAGAATCTAAACACTACTGTAATAAATTTCTGCTCCACAACTGATAAGCTTAGACACATGCAAATCTACAAAAAAATTAAGAAGGGGGGGGTATTTCTCAAATGAAGTGTTTCAGACCTAACTTACCTATTCCTGCAGCCTTGGAAAACAATTTTAAAGGGATAAAAACATTGGCCAAAATAAACTGATATATGAGCAATACTTGTAAAAAAGTTTAATGGAACTTCTCCACAACAATGGCTTAGTTTTACTTTAGCACATTTTAAGCATGCTATATGGGGTGTTTGCAATATTTCATTATATTTTAGGGGGCCAGATTCAATAAGGTTTAATCTTTGTCATACCCAAACGTAACAGACAATGTTTACACATCAGGGGACCTAGTGTTTTGAACTGGAGCTTTGACAACTCTTGTTAGCCACCAACAGAACTCTCAGTTTAGAAATCTATTCTCTCATCCTTTAAATGATTAGACTCAGCAAGTTATTTACATGCGTTCCAGAGTCATCTGATAGTTGTCAACCATTCACGAGATTTCTCCCTAAAAACTCGGGGCAATCTCATCGTAATTTTTTAAAACTTTGTATGTAACAATTGCAGCAACATACCAAAAAAGAACCTACTTGGCAAGAACCATCCACGTTAGAATGAACTATTCAAACAGCCAAAGATCACAAAACTTACAGTAAAAAAGAGCACTACCTTTCACCATTCTGGCAATTATTTACAACAAAATTAATTAAAATGGGGACTGATGGTAGTTTACAGAAGACTTAAGAGTTGAAAGCCAATCAGCTCTCTTTCTAGGGCTTTCATCTAATTTTAATACCTTCACATTAACTTGTACTTTCTCAACACAATAAATAAACAGGCTTCAGAAATCACTTATCACATCAATTCCTTTACACCCAAACAATCGAGTCAGGTCTTCCTGGTTGCAAATGCTTCTTTTTCCCTAAAAACTTGAACTTCCTCCAGTCACCTGTCAAAATGAGTCACTACGCCTTGCTGGAGAGCGCTAACAGGACCCAACACCATTTTTAGGGGCCCCGCGCTGCGAGTTTCGGGTTGGCTGCACCGAAGGGCCTGCAGCGACTTCTGAAGCCTGCGCTCGAGTAGCAGTCCCTCCCCTCCCCCTCCGGCCCCCTCCCACCCTCCCACCCCGGCCCCGGCCGGTACCTGGTAAGGCTGCGAGTCCCCCCTCCGGTCGTGACAGCTGAAAAACAGGAAGAGAGACAGCGACATGAGACCTCGCGGGAGGAGGAAGAAAAAGCGGGGCCCCCTGCCTGCCCCCCCCCCCCCCGGGGGAGACCTACCAAACGCCCCCCGCGCCCCCCACACACCCCCCCCGCTCCAAGGAGGCGGCGAGCGCGGCAGCCTGCGCAGCCGGCCCTCGGCGCCCCTCCACGCACACTCGCTGGGCGCCCGCGCCCGCGGCCGCTCCTCCTCCCGCCCCGGCCGCTCCGGAGCAGGGTTAACAACAAAAATGGCGGCCCGGCCAGCACCAGATAAGGAGGAACAGCCCCCCCTCGGCCGCCGCCCCCCGCTGCGGCCCGGCCCGAAAGGAAAAGACCATTTACCCATCACTGAGTCTCTGCTGTTTCCTCGCATACATTACCATCAATGCCCGGCCTGTGAGTGTGTGTCGGGGAGGGAGGAGAGCGGCCGCGAGAGGCGGGCGGACTACCGGCACCAGGGCCCCAAGCGCCCTCGGCGAGTCTCAGCACCTCCCCGTTACTGGCGCCGGCGCTCCCGGGCCATCTCCCTCCGCCGACACCACGCTCACTCCTGGCCGGGGCAACGGCGCCAACTACACGGCGGCAGCGGTGAACCGGGGGGAGGGGGGCAAGAAGACACGTCCGGCTCGGCCCCGCGGGGAGCGAATGCCTCCTCCGCCTTCTCCTCCTCCTGCTCCGCCGCCTCCTCCCCCCCCCGCCCCGCTGCCTGGTCCTTCTCCTCCTCCTCCCGCCGCCGCCGCCACCGGTGCCGCCGCTACCGCTCCACCAACTACATCCGGGCAACTCGGATGCTGCCACCTTCGGAAAACATCGGCAGTTTCCGCCGCACCCCTCCTCTCCCCGACCTCGGTCTTCCTCCCCGCCCCGCGCAGCTCCAGAACGCCGCCTTCGGCAAACCTCGGCTCGCTCCGGCCTTCCTCTTCCTCTGCGGCCTGGCTCGGCCGCTCACGACCCGTCAACTCTTTCCGGTTGCCGCTCCTTTTCCTCACGCGCACGTCCGGCCACCCCTATTCCTGTTTAGCGCTAGTCCTGCTCATGGGCCTGCTCGAGGCCGGCCCCAGTGGCTCCGGAGTACGCAGGGGCCGCCTTCGGGAGGAGGACGGTGGGGCGCGAAGGAAGCCATCGCGGACTGAACGAAAGCGGCTGCGCGTGCGCCCAGAGGCCAGCTCTCCGGCCGCCCGCCCCCTCCCCTCCGGGCGCTGAGCGCCCGCGGTGGTCAGAACCCGCTGGGTGGGCGCCGGGCGGGCGGTTACCGGGGAGTTTTCTGGTTGTAGCTCACGGAAGCTGCCTCAGGGAAGCAGGGAGGCTGACCCTGCTCCTTCAGGGCTGCGCAACTGCCCCGGTCGGCCGCCGGGCAGGGGCTTCTCCGAGCGCACGTCGGCATTTTAGACGTAAGTCACGCCCCAGACGCGGAGAGCAGGAACGCTTTCCAAAGGCGGAGTGCCGCGGGTGGAGGCCTGCGGGGTTTTTACCCATTCGGGAAGGCTGTGTGCCTGGGATTCCCGAACCGCGGAGGGAGCGCCGCTTAGGGCGGTCAGTTAAGACGTCGGAGTAGACTGGAGATTGACAAAGATGGGTTACTTGGGAAAAGCATTTTTCCTCTTTTAATGTTTTCCTTCTTCAGTATGGGGAATTCACCGTGCCCTCCCCACCTTCTTTTATTTCCCATTTTTTCGCCCTTCTGGTCCCTCTTCCTTGCTGAAATCTTGGTGAAATAAAATTCCTTTGGAGGCTTTGCATGTGAGGTATTAAAAACCAAGCCCATTGCTGTCAAGTCCGACTCATAGCCGGCCCTCTATCACAGAGTAGAACTGCCCCATAGGGTTTCCAAGGCTGTAAGTCTTTAAGAAAGCAGACTGCCACATATTTCTCCCTCAGAGCAGCTGCTCAGCCTTTTGGTTAGCAGCTGAATCTTAACCACTGTGCCACCAGGGCCCCTTTATGTCAGGTATTTAAAAAAAAAAAAGTTGCCATGGAGTCGATTCTGACTCACAGCGATCCTATAGGACAGAATAGAACTGCACCATAGGGTTTCCAAGGTGCAGCTGGTGGATTGGAGCTGTCCACCTTCTGCTTAGCAGCCTGAGCTCTTAACCACTGTGCCACCAAGACTCCTTTAGGTCAGGTATTGGAGTATGCTCAATTAAATTGCAACAAATTTAATTTTGTGGGCTGCTGCAGTCCACAAAGATCAAAGACGCGTTCAGTATTGCTGACAGCTAAGAACTCCCCGATAAAACATAAGGAATTGGTGCTTGAATTCTTAGAGTCTGTTAACCTCCCCAAACGGCTATCAGTTATTCATTGCAAAGGACACCGAAAGGGGGATAGTTACACAGTCCTGGGGAATAACAGCAGATTTGGCTGCTAAACAGGCAGCCCGAGCATTGGGCCTGAGAAAGAGTTAGCCCTCATCCCCTACAAGCTGGAGACCCAACTCTCCCAGTGTTTTGAAAACAAAAAGGAGGAAGGGGCAAAGAGGGGATTTACCCAGCAAGGCCCAGGTGGGTCAATGATAAATTCTCTATGCTCCTAAGTCTAGACTATGGAAGATTGTTAAGAGCTTCCACTGTGCCACCCACTATGGAAGAGATGTGTTTAGTAAAGCAAGTGGTGCTCAGTTGTGAAACCTGCCAGAGGAACAATCCTCAGTCACACCCAATACCCCTTCCGCTCGTCAAACCAGTCCAGCACAGAGGAACCTACCAGGGAGAGGACTGGCAAATGGATTTTACTGTCATGTCACCATACTAAGGCTATAAATATCTGCTAGTTTATGTTGACACTTTTACAGGCTGGATAGAAGCCTTCCCAGCTAGGACCGAGAAAGCCACTGAAGTAAGACCCTTCTGAAGGAGATTATCCCCAGATACGGACTCCCAGGGTCCTTACAGTCGGACAATAGCCCAGCTTTCATAGCTGCAGTTACCCAAGAGCTGTCCACAGCCTTGGGAATTATGTTACAAGTTACATGCAGCCTGGCATCCCCAGTCATCTGGAAAGGTAGAATGAACCAGACTTTGAAGAGAACTTTAGCTAAGTTGCTCCAAGAAACCCAGGAGTCCTGGATGAGACCACTCTAGATCGCCCTCCTAAGAATTAGATCCGCCCCTAGGAGTGATCTAAGACTCAGCCCCTATGAAATGTTACATGGCCGGCCTTTCCTTACCACCGACCTCCTAACAGATCCAGAGCTTAGCAACTCCCTATGGTATATTATCAACCTGGGACAAGTACAGGAAGCCTTAAAGGAGTATGGTAAGATATTACCTGCCCCAGAGAAAGGAATGAGCACCTCTGTCAGTCCAGGAGATCTTGTTCAGCTACTAATGGTTTGGCAGGTCGAACCCATTCAGCAACTCCACAGGAGAAAGAACTGGTGATCAGCTCTGTCTTAGTCATCTAGTGCTGCCGTAACAGAAATACCACAAGTGGATGGTTTTAACGAAGAGAAGTTTATTTCCTCACAATCTAAGTAGGCTGAAAGTCCAAATTCAGGGTGTCAGCTCCAGGGGAAGGGTTCTTCTCTCTGTCGGCCTTCTCAACAGTGTTCCCCCGGACTAGGAGCTTCTCGGCACAGGGACCCCAGTCCAAAGGATGCGCTCTGCTCCAGGCACTGCTTCCTTGATGGTATGAGGTCCCCCTGTCTCACTGCTCATTTCTGTCTTTTATATCTCAAGAGATTGCCTCAGGACACAATCCAGTCTTGTAGATCAGGTCCTGCCTTACTAACACAACTGCCACCCATCCTCCCTCATGAACATCATAGAGGCAGGTTTACAACATACAGGAAAATCACACAGTACCAGGAATCATGGCCTAGCCAAATTGATACACACATTTTTGGGGAGACATAATTCAAACCATGACAAGCTCCCATAAAGATTGTTGTGTTATTAGGTGCTGTCGAGTCAGTTCTGATTCATAGAAACCCTACGTGAAACAACAAAACACTGCCCAGTCTTGCACCATCCTCACAATTGTTGCTATGTTTGAGCCCATTGTTACAGCCACTGTGTCATTCTGTCTCATTGAGGGTCTTCCTCTTTTTCACTGACCCCCTATTTTACCAAGCATGATGTCCTTCTCCAGGGACTGGTCCCTCCTGATAACATGTCCAAAGTACACGAGACAAAGTCTCGCCATCCTTGCTTCTAAGGAGCATTCTGGCTGTACTTCTTCCAAGACAAACTTGTTCATTCTTCTGGCAGTCCATGGTATATTCTGTATTCTTTGCCAACATCGTAATTCAAAAGCACCAATTCTTCACTAGTCTTCTTTAATCATTGTATGGCTTTCGCGTGCATATGAGCCAATTGAAAATACCATGGCTTCGGTCAGGTGCACCTTAGTCCTCAAAGTGAATCTTTGCTTTTTAACACTTTAGAGAAGTCTTTGCCCAGTACAATACATCGTTTGATTTCTTGACTGCTGCCCCCATGGGCGTTGATTGTGGATCCAAGTAAAATGAAATCTTTGACAACTTCAGTCTTTTCTCTGTTTATCATGTCGTTGCTTATCGGTCCAGTTGTGAGGATTTTTGTCTTCTTTATGTTGAACTATAATCCACACTGAAGACTGTAGTCTTTGATCTTCATCAGTAAGTGCTTCAAGTCCTCTTCGCTTTCCTTAAGAAAGGTTTTGTCATCTGCATCTTGCAGGTTGTTAATGAGTCTTCTTCTAATCCTTATGCCCCATTCTTCTTCATATAGTCCAACTTCTCGGATTATTTGCTCAGCAATAGATTGAAAAAGTATGGTGAAAGAATACAACGCTGACTCAGACCTTTCCTGATTTTAAAGCACACATATGCCCTTGTTCTGTTCCTTACAACTGCGTCTTGGTCTGTGTACAGGTTCCTCATTAAGTGTTCTGGAACTCCCATTCTTCACAACATTATCCATAATTTGTTATGATCCACACAGTCGAATGCCTTTGCATAGTCAATAAAATACAGGCAAACATCTTTCTGGTATTCTCTGCTTTCAGCCAAGATCCATCTGCCATCAACAATGATATCACTCGTTCCACATCCTCTTCTGAATCCAGCTTGAATTTCTGGCAGTTGCCTATCGAGGTACTGCTGCAATTGTTTTCGAATGATCTTCAGTAAAATTTTACTTATGTTTGATATTCATGATACTGTTCTGTAATTTCTGCATTCCGTTGAATCACCTTTCTTTGGAATGGGCACAAATATGGATGTCTTCCAGTTGGTTGGCCAGGTAACTGTCTTCCAAATTTCTTGGCATATACAAGTGAGCACCTCCATCACAGCGTCCATTTATTAAAACATCTCAGTGTTATTCCGTAAATTCCCTGTGTCCTTTTTTTTGCCTATGTCTTCAGTGCATCTTGGACTTCTTCCTTCAATACCATCGATTCTCAATCATATGTTACCTCCTAAAATGGCTGAATGTCGACCAGTTCTTTTTGGTACAGTAACTCAGTATTCATTCCTCCCATCTTCTTTTGATGCTTCCTGTGTCATTCAGTATTTTGCCCATAGAATTCATTATTGCTACTCGAGGCCTAAATTTTTTCTTCAGGTCTTTCAGCTTGAGAAATGCCAAGTGTATTCTTCTCTTTTGGTTTTCTAACTCTAGTTCTTTGCACATTTTGTTATAATACTTTGTCTTCTTGAGCCGCCCTTTGAAATCTGTTC